CAGTTGGTACCCCTTGGCATGAACACTGTACTATGTTAAACCCCAACTGTCATTTCCACTCTACTCTGAGTCTTCATAAATTGATTCCTTTTAAAAAAAAGTCAATGTCCCCAAGCATGGTGGCACATGCCTGAAATCCCAACACTCTGGGAAACTGAGGCAGGATGGTCTCAAATTCAAGCCCAGCCTGGGAAAATTAGTGACTTAGTAAGACTCTGTCTCAAAATAAGGGTATGGGATATAGCTCAGTGTGAGGGGCCTGAGTTCAACCCCAAGTACGAAAGGAAAAAGAAAAGAAAAAAGTCAATGTATTTAAACTGCTTTGCTAAGCTTCTTCTATTCTGGAAGGACCAAGAAATACATACATGCATATGAATTCACAGGTGAATAAAAATGCGTGTTAAATAAGAGTATCATCTTTGTAAACAAAATTGGGCATACAAGTAAAGAAATATTGAGATCATAAGTATTGGCTTGGATTTTGTTCATAAATGATAACCATCCACATAATGAGTAACATCTGTCTCCTTCAACTAATAAACCAAGGAGCAGATATATTGTACTGTGCACCAGGGAGAAACCGATTCTCACTACATGATATAAAAAGTCTGGATTGACCAGGCCTCATGTAACTGTATAGAATGAAGCTGGCATTAGCCCATTACTCACCAAAGTAAAGTGAGGACTGCGCCGGCAGGAAGACAGCACTGGTTGAAGCAGCAAGTTCAGCCTTTGCCCAAGACTTTACAGAAAACTAAGGAGACACAGCCCAGGGAAGGCAGGACTGTTCTTGCTGACTCAGGAAGATGGATTTCCAGAGACCGCTTTGGAAACAAACATGTATTACTGTTTCATTTCTGGTATCCCCTTTGTCATTACCTCTCCAACCCGGAAGTTGGCCGGCAGCTTTCTTCAAGCCTTCAGCCTGCCGGGGTCACTTTGTTCTTTAAATTATAATTTAAATGAACTCGAATCACAGTCTCAGGTACAATGAGTTCCCGGCATCTACCCGGGCATTTGCCATGGCCAGGCAGAGCCCATGTCTCCCCACACCTTGATTCTGAGCTCTGTCCGGGCTGGTCTCATGCAGGAATGGAGAAGCTGAAACACTCCACGCCTTTTCATAAAAATCTAGTGAGGAGGTGCCAGGGAAGACATCTCAGAAGGTAGAAGGGGCTGAGGGCGGAGGTGACAAGCTCACTGACCGAGAAAGTGACCTTGGGCACTGGGGCTGCAGCAAGGAAGGCTTAGAAAGAAAACAAGTGGTGGCCGGCATCTGCTTGTTGCATCTGGCTAAAAATAGAGCCAAGGATGACTCCTGACAAGATTTGGAAACACTCAGACTATCCTTAATGCAGGAAGAAAATTACCCATGAAAGTTTAAAAGGGAACAGCAAAAGTTAGTCATGTGATTGCAAAACCCTCAGCACGTCCTGCCACAGGGACAGGCTCCAGGATCCTGAGGCCGGGGGAGCTGGGAGTTCCGAGGAGCGCACTCCCCTGGCCCTTCAGAGAAAGCCAATCCACATGGCCTCCTCCTCACCTCTGGGGTCTGCCAGGCCCGCCCTGGAGGGCAGCTGCCAGCACATTAACGAGCTACTTCCGCAGCTTGCTGGGCGCATAGCTTTCAGGCTGCTCATTTCTTACATTCAGTTTTTCCAAGAATTTGTTCCTAGCCTTAGTTCAGAAACTCCTCAAATGTTATGTACAGTTTCTTACCAACCCGAATTACATTTGCAGGATCCAGTCCTCAAACTACTTGGATGTGGACCTGTGCTTTATTTGGATTAGAGGGAATCCTGCTTGGTGAGCCCCTTGCCCCCCAAAATAGGCTCTAGTTCATTTATTTAGGTACCTTTAAATATATGTGGTCAACGGTATCATGTATCTGTAGAAATCCCCAGTCAGATAAGATCACTTGGAAAGTTAGAATAAGGCCTGTTAGCCGTCAAGGAAAAGCTCAGAGGGAATTGAAAATAAGACGCAAAGAGTAGGAGCTGTAACTCGGGGAAGCTGCGGTGGCATAGGCCGTGCCACCGGTTTGCTGTGGCTTGAGAGGCCTGAGCGGGGCTCTGCACGGTGGCCTGCCCGTGGGCCTGGGGCCTGCCCGTGGGCCCACTCATCTGCAAATGTGTTTTGCAAGTGTCGCTGGACTCCCTAATCCCTGAGAGGTAACATATCAGGCAAGTCGCTGAGTTCGACTTGAGGGCCATGGATGAGGTCACACCTGCCGTACGGGCGTGCTGTGGGGCTCACCTCACACGAGGGGCGGTGATGGACCGAGGACTCACTCCGCGTCTGGGGCCGCTGCCCAGAGAGGCCATGACTCACGGGTCTCTGAAGCAACAGGAAAGGAGACAGCTGTCGCTTCTCTGGCAAGAATGAGCTTCATCTCACAAGAGCATCTCAAGGGAGATTCTCAGCAGCCCAGCTGCTTCTGCCCTCCAGTGCTCCACTTTGTCGGTTTCATTCTTAAGGCAGATGGGGCGTCATGAGCTGGGCCTCTGCTCTTAGGATCCTTCCCTAAGACAAGGGGAAGTTCTAGGAAGCTCTTCCAGTGGACAGGTGAGACCGTCTCTTCAGGCTACCACAGGAGAGTGTGGGTGTCAGACAGTCACTCCTATGCGCTAGCACTGTGTGAAGTCTTTCTACTCCTAGGGCAAGTCACCACAGGCTCAGTAATTGTCCCCGACATAACTTGTGATGACATTTTTCAAGGCAAAAAATACGACAGTGAAAACTATGTGTGTTCCTTCGCCTATATCTGACTTCACCTAAGAATGCTTAGGCCGGTCATTGTCAGAGGATCCATCATTCAAGTGAAAAAATCAAGTAATCATTTGAAGCTAGTGTACAATTAATATTAGCCAACATTAGCACCATTGTTAGTACAAAAGTGTGTGGCTGTCGAGGACATTCACATTTGCCTGTTTTGCTTAACCATGGTCCTTTACCTAAAAGAAGTGGGCCCTACTGCGTGCAGATGAGTATACAGGGAAAGGCTCTGGCTTTGCGCCATCCAAATCAAAGTCCAAAAGCAGAAATCCATCCTGACAGCCCTTTGCAGGTCGGAGTAGGCTTTCAAATATCTTTTAAAATGTGTTTTGTTCACACAAGGACTATGTTTAGCAGGTCCAAGGTCTTTAATAATGCATCTCTGTCTCAGTGTGAAATCAAGGCGGTACTTTCCCAAATTGCAACAATGGGGATTTCTCTAATTGCCTGTATCTGGGATTGTGAGGTTTAACAGGTTTCTTAACAGGTTATGTGTTTGCTTTCTTGAGTTTTCTTCAAAGTCAATCATTCAGAGCTTTACTGTAACCTAGGTTTATAGATATTATATATTAGAAGTGGAAAGGAAGTTAGGAAAAATAGAAGAGCCCCTCCTTGCTAGTAAGCTTTCTTGAAGTTAAAAGTGTAGTCTTATGACTTTCAGGAAGTATGTCCTTTCTGTGAAAGGGTACGTACCTCAAGAGCATCATTTTAGATAATGACAATCTTGTCAACAGCCTTCAATTTTGAGATATTTTGCAAAAGATTTTGTGTGAAGAACAATTGTCCATTATGAGTAAAAAGTTTCAATTATGTCTCTAAGACCATTTTCCTGGTAATTTTAGTGTATCCAAAATACATGCAGAATGTGTTGATGTTAGGACTTACAGTTTTCTTTAAACTCCAAGAATAATGGATACAATCATGCAGTGTAGCTTCCCAGTGGACAGTTGCCTGCATGTTCCAGAGGCTGAGGGCTCTCGAGGAAGTGTACAGCTGAGGAAAGATCAAGCTGCCGTCCAGTCAGCCAGAAACCAAGATGGCGGAGGGGACAGAGCAGGGCCGAGAATCCTCACACGTGCATGTAGAAACTGCTGCACCCTCATGCTCCCCAGGGGTGGGGAGGCTAGGGAGAGGGAGCAGGAAAAGTGAGGCAAAGAAAGGCTTTGTTCTTTGCTCCTTGCAGTCACACGGTCCTTCGTCATGTATTTTCTGTGTGAGCTCATCCCAAAGTGAGAGAGAGAGAGAGGAGACTTCACCCTGAGCCACCTGGAGGTCAGGAGAGGTTCATACAGGCATGACTGGCTCTTGGCAGGATGCAGTGACCACAAAACTTAATGGCCCTCTGCTTCCCTCTCACCCAGGGAGGAAGTAGCAAGGGCCTGGGACCCCCTCCTCACAATCCATCTGCTGATTTGAAATATAAACTGGGCATGTGTAAGCCAGTGCTTCCCATTGTGTTCTGGAGAACATTGGTCCTGCGGTGTGATCCTATGTCGCTGTGTGTGTGTGTGGTTTTGTGTGTGGGATGGGCAAGTGTGTGTGTGTGTGTGTGTGAAAAAGGTAGGTTGCATTTGTCTTTTCAGTCTAGACATGACGAGTTAAACAAAACTTACTTGTTGCTTTAGAGAATTCATCCAGTTAATCCTCACAATCAACCTCTGCTGTAGCGAGTGCTCTGATCTTACTTAGAGACGAGGAGGTGTAGAGAGGTTAAGACCAAAGTTGCAGTCACCCACCGCCAGAGACACACTCCGAGGCCAGCCTCCAGATGTCCACACTGCCTGTGACTCCCTGGAGCAGTGTTAACGGACCGCTGGGTGGCCCGCTTCTCGGAGATGGTCACGGTGTACTCTTCTCGCTTCGACTTGGACGTAACCTTTCTCCAAGTTTTCTGAGCGTCCCAAGAGCTGAATGTTGCCCAGCACCCGCCATGGGTAGACTGAGTCATGCAGCCTCTTTAACAAAGCGCTCATGTAGCGAACCAAACACTGACTTTGCCAACAGTCAAGAGAAAGAGACCACATGTTGGTGAAGGACGTATTCTGAGTTCAGAGACTATTTCTTCTAGCTGGCCATGGAGGCGGGCTGGAATCCCAGTACTTGGGAAGCTGAGACAGGAGGATCAAGAGTAGAAAGAAGGAAGTGAGGGAGGCAGGGAGGGAGGAGGCGGGCGGCAGGTGGCGCGTGTCCTGAAGCTGTCTGAGCTCTGCCCCTCGGTCTTTCAGGTGCTCCATCCCGAACGTGTACGCGGCGCTGTTCTCTGCCGGCCTGGCGCCCCTGGCGTGCCTGGTGGTGGCGTTCGTGGTGTTCGTGCATGCCTACCAGGTGAAGCTGCAGTGGAAGGCCTACGACGACGTGTTCAGAGGGAGGACCAACGCCACAGGTGCGGAAGGAGCGATCCCTGTGCTCCAAGGATGGGTGTTTGGGGCTGGGAAGTGATAATAATAAAAGCCTAGGGTTCTTCCGCTGGATTCAGATAGAAATCGTGACTTGGTAGAGTGCAGCTCTGCAGCAGCCCTGATGTCACGGGGAAACCCGGCGATGCTAGGGGCCAGCAGTTGGCACAGCCGGCTGCTGGTCACTGAGCTGCCCACTGCCCCTGCCCAGTGCCAGCTCATGTCCGACATGCAGGTCCCTCTGTGCTGCACCGAGGGCCTCTGGTCTCCGAGCTCTGCTGTGTGAAAGGCTGGGAGTGCTTCTGCTCTTGAGCTTTGAGACGACCTCTCTATCCACACTGCTCAGGGCAGAAGTCCCAAGTCCATCCTAGGACTCCAGGCTTAGCCTGCCTGTGTAGCTGACAGGAGCACCAAGGTGAGCCTTGGTTGTAGCAGGGCCTGTGCTGCAGCATGAGGTCCTTACAGCAGGGAGCCCCCAGACTCACCTGCCGCTGAGGTGCTGCTTCCCAGCAGCTGAGGGTGAGGCCGCAGCTTGCTGTGCGTGTCAGGGTCCCGTCCCTCGATTCCTGAGCTTAGCTACCCTGGGGCCGTGCTCATGTCAGTGTGGAGACTGGTGACTTGATAGCCGGGGGTGATGCTGAGGCAACACGTCCCATCCAGGGGGCAGCGGGAGGGGTGCACCGGCCGCCGCCTGAGCCACACACCCCTCAGCGGCTGCAGGGAGAAAGCGAGAGTCGGGCGCTTCTCGTAGGTGTGGAAGGAGGTGTCTTTGCACTTTGGAAATTATTTTGGGAAATAAAAAAGTAGGGGAGCCAGGCATAGCTGGAGACTTAGATAATCCCAGCACTTGGGAGGCTGAGGCAGGAGAATGGCCCGAGTTCCAGCCAGCCTGTGCTACATAGCAAGAGCCTATCTCAGAAAACAAGAGTGCAGTTGGGCTGGACAGTCAGCTCTGCAGCCAGCACATGGCCATGGCTCCCCTACCCCTCCTGCTTGTCTGTCCCTCCTGGCCTCTCTCCTCGGCTATAGGTGTCACCACCGGGGTTTCCTCCTGGAGGTGTAAATCCCCGTGAGTGACTCACAGGTTCGGGCCTCGCCCCACGCCTTCCTCCTCCAGCAGTCACTGCGTGTGCAACGAGTCACTTGCACAGATTCCCAGCAAGCCTTGTGTGCTCCGAGGGCTGAGCCTCGCACTGGCCCCCTGGCCGCCCTGACAGCTGTCCGGGGCGGGTGTCACCAGGCCTGCCCGGTAGCTGCTCCCCCTCACACCTCGCCCTCCGCCCTTCGTGCTTCCCTGCACACCGTCCTAGACAGGTTTCGGGATCTGGTTCTGTCCTGCTGCTGAGATCGGGGTCTCCTAGAAAGGGATTTTCCAGACGAGGGACAACAGCCAACCACTGGGACAGCCGCAGCCGCGAGAGCGCTGTGAGCAGCGAGGCCCTGGGGCGCCACGGGGGTGTGGAGGAGCAGAGGAATTACACCCAAGGGCCTGTGTGAGTTCAAGCAGGAGGCCATCTGTGAAAGCCTAGAGCTGCGTCTGAACCACTGTTAAGGGCTCAATAGATATCGTTACTCACAAGTCGTCACCCAGTAGCGGAAAAGCACCCCAGTGCCTGAACTGGGTCAGGGGAGATACAAAAAAAGTTTTTGTTTTACTCCTAAAGACCCTTTGTAGGGTTTGTGGGTTGTGTTAGGGTAGCAGCATCTAACCAGACCCTCTATTCACTCTCATTCAGCACGTGATCACTGGGCACACAGAAATATTACTTCAAGTTACAGTTTTAGGCAGCACATGTCTCTAAGCCCCATCACTCAGGAAGCTGAGGCAGGAGAATGCCCACAAGTCGAAGGCCAGCCTGACCTACACGGAGTACTGAGGCCTTGTGACCCACGGGACCTGCCACACTTGCTGGCTGGGTCTGCACAGGGGAACCATGGCAACTCAACTGTTACAGCAAGGTCACATGTCCGTGAAGAGCACTTACGCTTAGCAAGCCAAATAAACATGCACAAGTACCGATGTGAAACAGTCTCAGAAATCACGACGGGAAATGCACTGTTGACATAATAAAATGTCTTCATATTAGAGATTAACTGTGTGGGGGACAGAGGAGGAATGACTAGATTAGATTCTAAAGCTAAAATTGAAGAATTCACAGAGGTAGGAAAGAGAAAGGGAGAGAAAAAGGTAAAGAAAAAGAAAGGAAAAAGAAAAGGAAAGGGTGGGCCAGCCGGGCGTGGTGGCACACACCTGTAATCCCGGCACTTGGGAGGCAGGGGAAGAGCATCACTGTGAGTTCAGGGGCCATGCAGTGAGACCCTGTCAAAAACCAAATAAGTTAATACATTTTTAAAAAGGAAGAAAACCTCAAAGGCTTAAGAATAGACTGTCAAGAGAAAAGAATGGGGAATGGTGAAAATTTTTCCAGAATTAAAGACAAAAGTGTAACTGCATCTGACATAAATACCTACATTTACCAGAAAAGGGGCACCTTGCTCAAAAGCCTGTTATACGTGGCACAGGCCCCGCTCAGGAGCAGATTCCATGGTGTAAGCTGGTGCAGGTCGTTCTCTGCAGACCTGGGCTTCAAGTCTTCAGTACGGTGAAGGACACATTGCCACGCATCCCCCACGGATTCTTCCCCTGGCTTTGCGCACCCTCGTCCACGGCTCCCGCTGCTTTCTGGAGCAGTTCTGGAGTCCCTTTTCCTGACCGTCTCCGGACACTGTCGTGGCTGCCTCCATGTCCTGAACGGATTCAGAACGTTTCCTTCCACGGCCATCGTGACTTTGGGAAGAGCTGGTAGCAGATGGGTGAAGAAGGTGGGTGGGAGCACAGCACCGTGTGTTTCTGAGCTGCCTTCCCATTGGGCGGCGCTCGACGGCAGCAGGCGGCATAATTTTGGGCGCGCCTTGGGAAGACGGGGAAGACACAGCAGCCTCCTCTGCCCCTTCCCTGAGGACCCGAGGTCATACCCTGTGTGGGTCTAGTGAGTCTCGCTCGTGCATTGTTAAACTAAATGAGCATTTGTAGAATATTAGAAAGCACGATGAAAAATATATTGCCTCGGAACAAATGAAAGCTAGGAACAAATCCCCGTTTCTTATAAAAATACGATTTCCTACTTACAGCTCTCGCTACATTTCAGGTAGTTTCGATCAGAACTTTACATCACTTGTAAACCATTTTTAACGGCCAGTGAGATGCATTATGGGAAGGAAGGTCCGATGTGTAGTCTCTTTAAGACCAATTTGTTTTTGATAATCGGGATGAGTGTTACCCACCTTGGTGTTCCAGGTTCGGTGACAGGGACAGTTAGCGTCAGCACGGGTCACCGAGGAGTCTGCATTCATCATTTTGTTAGGCCCAGGGTCTTCCACGGATGCTGTGCAGCCGCGCTCCAGACCAGTCCCTCTGCAGAGTAGATGTGCTTCGCAAGGGGGCGTTGATTATCAAAGGGCGAAGCTCAGCATTTTGAGTACATTTGGCTTCGGATAAACTCAGTGAAATCCAGAGGCGAGGGGACAGCAGAGAGAGAGCCCCTGGAGGTGACATACGCCTGCACTGAGGACGCCACCCCCAGCCCGTGTCCTGCACACGGATGACACCAGGCGACAGTGTGGCGCTGGGTCCCCTTCTCTGTCGGGCCTGCGAGGCCAACTTTGGAGAAGGGCTCCCGGGAGAGGGCCGGGCAGGCTGTGCTCAAGACTGAGTCACTGGAAGGAAAGGCGCGTGGGACCCGAGGGCAGAGGGCGGGCTCCGCAGCGTGGCCAGCACAGCCTGTAATTTGAGGCTTGGTTTGGATCCGGGCAGTGATAAGCTCGCCTCTCCTGTCACACTCATTAGAGCGCGCCGGCCGCCTTCTGACTCACCAGCCGGCTCTTAGGCAAGGCATGAGTCAGGCCTGGGCGAAGGAGGTTCATTTGAATAGAGAGGAAGTGGGTGATTACCCATCTCTGTTATAAAAGCCCAGGCCTGGGTTTCGGCGTCATACGTGAGCTGGAAAGGTGGCAGGGTCTGGTGACCAGGCCAGTGTGAATCTCAGGGTGGGGGGTCTCCTAGCAACAGAGTGGCCTTTTCTCTGCCTGCCTGGGGGAGCTGGCAAACCCTTCTGAGGGCAAATCCGTCCCTGTCCCTGCCACTCTCCTTCTGTCTCTCTCTCTGTCTCTCGGTTTTTGAGACAGGGCCTCACTATGTAGTTCAGCCTTGAAATCACCATGTAGCCCAGGCTGGACTCACAGTTGCAGTAATTCTCCTGCCTCAGCCTCCTGAGTGCTGGGGTTACAAGTGTTCGCCTCCACATCCAGCACTTCCATTTCTTAGGAGCCTCCAGTTCTTTGTCCTCAGAGTGATCCACAATAATAAAATAAAACAATATTCCATTGCTATTATGAAGATCAGTGACAACCGGTCCTAATGGGTAGGACAGTTTGAAAGCTCTAATAGAGTTCCAAGGGTCTCACTCACGTCCAAAAGGAAAAGAGGGAAACGAAGAAACTGCAGACACATGAAGCACACTGTGTCCTGCCGTCTCCCACTGACCACTGTCGTCTGTCGACGTCTGGGCTGGCTGTGGTCTTGCTTGGGCTGCCACAATGTACCCAGGTGACTCGGGCTCCTAAGGCTCCTCCGAGCCAGCGGAGGCGAGGACCAGCGGCGGCACGGGGAACACGCGTGTGGGGACGTGTTTCTCGCAGGAGAGCTCAGCACGTGCAGCAGAGAAGCTGCTGCAACTTGGTGACAGGAGTCGCTGACTTTAGGCCATGTCGTTTTGTGCTCTGAAGTGTGATCAAAACACAATGACCATATAAACTCCTTTTTGATTTTATTACCCTAAAAGACAGTTGAATCCCCCTTCCAACACCTCCTCACTTCCTACACCGCTTATCCGATGGTCTCGCCACTGTCCGAAGCAGCTCTGGAGTCCTTTCTCCTGAGTGTCTCTCATGGCGCTGCTGTGGCTGCTTTGATATCCTGAGCTGATTC